ATGATTGTGGTTTTGAGTTCTCTGAACTGCTCTGTACCAGGGAAGTCACAGCCACGCTCAGCGATTTCCTTGGTGCTGAACACGTGAGATGTGTGATTACTCTTGTCACAGCTTTGACAGCTGCTCGGCTTTCCAGCTTCACTGTTTTGCCTTAAACAATGGCACGGGGCACACTAGGAACCCGGCTTATTTGTTTGTTTGATTTTGTTTTGAAACCTGAATGCAGCCGTGATAATGTCAGCGTTGCGAAGCCAGGGGTGGGTGGGGTGCGGGGGGGGGCGCGGAGAGAGGGGCATGGGGAGGGGGGAGGTGTCGCAGAGTGAAAAGCTGATTGGATGGAAATCTCCTGACGTGGTACCTCCGGGGCTAGGCATTCCCCAGCTGGCTGAGTGCAGGGCGGGTCATCACCCCTCCACATCTACAAAATGGGGCCAGTTCGTGCCCTGGGATCCCCGTAGGAGCTGTCATGAGGATCGCAGAGAATAAGGACCGTGAGAATGTGCTACAAACTTGAAGTTCTGTGCAAACGTGTGCTATCATGGGAAATGAAACCCTCCAATGACTAGGCTTGCCAACCAAAGTTCATGGCAGACCAACTCAGGAAGAGGCTGTGGGTAAGGAAGACGTCTCCATTAAGGAAGAGAAATCTTTTCTTGTTTTTGCTCCCTGGAGACATGTTTTTGAAATCTGCTGAAACATTCTCTCCTTGCTTTCGGCAGCCTTAGCTATTCTGAACGTGTGATAATATTAGAAGCTCAGTGTGATAGGCAGAGTGCCCAGGATGGGCAGCGGGGGCTCTGCACCCAAGTTAGGGCAGGGCATTTGTGCCACTCCCATCACCATGCAATCGGCTGGGCTCTGCTCTGGGGAAGCCCACACTTGGGGCATGGCTGGCCCCTCTACTGGACTGGCGAGGCTTGTGTCGAATAGATCCGCACACCTGTATGAAACCCGTTGCTCTCGATGACAATGCTTGGTGTTTCCCCAGCAGAGGCCATTTCACGGCAGGAGCTTCTTTCCAGCAAACCTTAGAATCTTGCTGCAAACTGGCCCCAGACACAGGCGGCACAAACGCTTTTCGAACTGACTGCCACAAGTCCTTGCACTGCGAGACCCCGGCACCTGGCCTGGAATCTCACAGAACTTTAATCCTCATTTTCTTCTTTGATGCTGTCGAGTTGGTGCGCAGAGAAAAACGGCAAGTGCCACCAAATGCACCTGCTGGCTCTTCAAATCGTGCTCAGCAGACAGAAGCAGCCCCCGTGAACAGGCAGGAGAGAGCAGCACGCACACCCTGTGTCCTTGGGTATTTCAAAGGTCCTTGCTGATGCTGCGCCAGCGGGATTAATTCACCTGCTTCAGCAATCAGGGCTGTTTCATCATCCCAGCTGAAATGTTTGTTTGTGTCACTGGCAAATCTGGGCAAAGGACTGGACCCTGTCCGCTCAGTTTACACTCTAAGATGGCCTGAAACACAGGTGCATGCCCACAGATAGCAGCCTGAAGACACTATATCCACTGGCCCAGCTCCTTCATGCTCCAGAGACTCGAGAGGTTCAGGGAGCTGCCCAAGGCTGGGGAATGCCCTCACTGCTCAGCCCACAGCCATGCTTTGCTTACCTCCACTGCCAAACCCAGGGGACACTTGGGTCCTTACCTGGCCTCTCTCGGCTTCTGACAGCCCTGACGGGGCTTCTCTCCTGCAAGTGCTTGCTCATTTCTCCTGCCTCCTTTCTCGTCTTCGGGCCTGTCCTTCCCTAACTGCACACATCCCCCAGCTTTCATCCCTGGTTTTTCCTTTTTCTTCCTCTCCCTGCCCGAATCTCTTTTACCATCAGGTCCAGACCTGCCCGGGCAATCATTTCCCCCAGTATTTCAGACATAACCTAATGATTTAGATAGATGCCCCTCAGATTCCTGGAAACTCAGAATGTTCAGAAGTAACCCATGACTCACCCCTTCAACCCTCCCTCCTCCTCCCCCGGTATTTCCCATATTCCTCAGCAGGCAGGAGCTCTAGCGGCTAAGCCAGAACCTGGGAGGAAGCCTGAGTCCTGCCTGCTTCTTCCCAGCCTCGTCCCCACATGCACCAGCCACCAGATGCTGTCAATCCTCCCATCAAAGTGTGGAACGTGGCTTTTGCACTGCTGCCCTTCACCCCTAGCACACTAGCCAGAGCGTGGGAATCGTTCCATCTTACAGGGGTCTCCGGACTGGCCTCCCTCGGTCAGTCTGGGCCACCTGCAATTCACCAACATTCCTACCAGGCTCATCTCTCAAGAACTCTGCTGCTTACACTCTGTGATCTTCTCTCAACCCAAGGACAAAATCCTACTGCCTGGTGTGCCCCCAGAGCACGCCTGGGCCTTCATGCCTTTGCCCTGGCTGTTTCCTCTCCCTGGAATGTCCTTCTCTTTCTCTTCATTTTTTTTGTCCTTCCCTTTTAAATAGCAGCTCTTTACCTCTTCGTCAACACTCAGTTCAAACACCAGCCCCTCTACCGACTGGCTCTGACCCCTGAGGCCCTGACTGGCTGTGTTGGGGCCCACACCCTCAGCCCTCTCCAGTACTTAGTGACACTCTTGCATCTGTCCTCATCATAAGATGGTGAGGTCCCGGGCAGTGGGAGTGTCTTACTCCACTCCATGTCCTGCTTAGCACAAGCTCTACGGCCAAATGTTTCTCTCCCTCCTATGGCATCTGCGGTCAGTATTGTGAGTTTCACGCAGTTTGGGGTTTCTGAGATACTGTCCTGTATTGCTTACCATGTCACGTGTTCTCCATTCAGGAGTTATGCATTGAGCACATACTAAGTGCCAGGCGTAGTACTAAGGACCAGGGGTGAAAAAATGAGTTCTGTTGGACTAGAAGCTGATGGTCTAGTGGGCGGTAGGGCATCAAATTAAACTGTGATACACAGAAAACCCCTAAAGGGTTTCCGTCCCCAAAAGTAGTAAAATGGGGCTGAGTGGTAGGACGCACAGTGGTTATATTCTTTGATGACTGTGTATCCAGGGTTTGCAGAACTGCTTTATGCGCAGCTGTCTCCAGGCCTGATGGTAGCTGAGCTCTCAAGCCCTAACTGATTCATACAGTTTAGAAAAACCCAACTTTATGCCCATATTATTCAACACCTCACCACCTAATTAAATGTGTTAAGTATTTCTAAGTGCTCATCATGGACTAATATGAGACACATAACACAAGTAGAATAGGGACTTCCCTGGTGGTCCAGTGGCTAAGACTCCGTGCGCCCAATGCAGGGGGCCCGGGTTTGATCCCTGGTCAGGAAACGAGATCCCACGTGCCGCAACGAAAGATCCTGTATGCCTCAGCGAAGATCCTGAGTGCTGCAACTAAGACCCGGCACAGCCAAATAAATAGACATAAAAATATATTTTAAAAAAAGTAGAAATAAAACTCTGTTTATCTGTCATAATGAGGGAAGAAAGTATTCCTCTGAAATTTATTTAACACAACCCCCTTAGGCCATGAGTCTGTATAATTTTTGTTGGCAATCTAATATATACTACGTTTCCTTGACTTCTTAACCAAAGCACATGAAATACCATTTCCTTTTCTGGATGATTTAGAATTACTACACAGGGCTCTAATGCTCAAGGAACTGTGACACGTGAGGGATGTTTCCCCTGCTTACACCAAACGCTTCCAGAATGTGACTTTTCAAAAAAAAAAAAAGAGGAAAATCCCCAAATATCTGCTTCTCAATTTAAAAAAATCTCCTGTTAACCTGTTAGTCGTTGCTTCTTCCTGCTTTTAGTGCTAGCCTTTTAAATTTACTGCTCCTAATCTGCTGTGGCTGTAATATTAGAAAACTGAGAGTAAACCATTCCCTAAAGTTAGAACAGGACTTGGACGGGAACTGAGAGCCGATTCCTAGAAACCGGCTAGACACTGTGTGCACTGAACCGACAGCACTTACTGGCTCTTGCTGCCCCTGCTTCCTAAGTAAGACAGACTAGTGCCCCCTACCTGTCTCGTGGGGTAAGGCAGAGACTCATTATGAAATGCTCCAAGTTTCTCAAAATACAGAATGATTTTGAAAGATGATGGGTTATTTTTCAAGAAGGGATTAAAAAATCCCTTCAAGGGCTTCCCTGGTGGCGCAGTGGTTGAGTCCGCCTGCCTCTGCAGGGGACGCGGGTTCGTGCCCCGGTCCGGGAAGATCCCACATGCCGCGGAGCGGCTAGGCCCGTGAGCCATGGCCACTGAGCCTGCGCGTCCGGAGCCTGTGCTCCGCAACGGGAGAGGCCGCAACAGTGAGAGGCCCGCGTACCGCAAAAAAAAAAAAATTTAAAAAATCCCTTCAAGTAGGAGGGTATTATTGGCCCTGTTCCCCACCAGCCGGCAGTATGCATGAACCATCACAGAGCTGCAGCTCAGCAGTATGAAGAGATGAACCAATGGGAATAGCTCACCAAGTGGACTGACATGTGCTTAGTTACACTAAGTGCAGGCCACTGGATGTCTGGAGAGGGGAGAAAGCCTGCAAGTATGTCACCTTCTCAAGGCTTTTGATACAAAATTTTCTTGGTGACTCAATTTTGCAAGTGCAGCCTATGCAAAATGCTCCTCCCTTCTTTTATTATTTATTTATTACAGGGTAACTGGTTTATAATACAGTCTTTTATTAAAACTCCAAAACTCTGGCTCACAGAAATTTGGTATCAATTAATTCTATCTCAGTAGAGTACACTTTCAAAAAGTGTAAAGTTTAGAATTAGCAAGTGGGATTTTTCTGGCCATAAGAGTAGGAAAAAATATTTTTTAAAATCCTCCAGTTTTTTTCCTGCAAAGGAAAATGAACAATTAATGTCAGCCCATTTCCAACCCACTCCCCCAATCCGTGAAACTGGGGTCCTTCGCTAGCTACTTTGTTGAAGTAGGCTAGAGCAGTGGATTTCCATGACAGCAAGATTTAATTTTGAAGCCTGAAATTATGAAGGCTCAAAGGTTGAAATGTGAAATGAAATTCTGACTCAACATAATGAATATTTATGGCCTTGGCAATACATCTTAGCCATCATTCAAAGGAAAACAATAAAATTTTCTCAGTGTTCGTCTGGCCGCAATCTCAGTGATTATCAGAGGAAGACACAGACTCCTGCCAACAGATAAATCTTCCTAGCAAGTGTGACACACAACAGTACTGGCTCCTTGCTTTCTGAATTCTGTGGTCTGGGCACCTTCTCAGAAGTCGCTGGAAATGTAATAACAGTTTGAATCATGGAATCTATCTGCTTGCAAAAAAAAAAAAAAGAAACATAACACAAAACATTAAAATCTTTCACTAAACAGACAGTTGAGGAAAATTCAACAATTCTTTTATCACCTTAAGTCTTAACATGTTTTATGATTACCACTTAATTCTTAATATTACCTGACAGGAGATATGATTTGGGCTCTTTCCCTCGAAATAAAGTTCTCAATAGAACAAAATCCAGCAGATGTCTGAGTTTAAAAGCCTATATATAGCCAGAGACTTCAGGCCTCACTGAGAAAAAGCAGCATGGGGACAAAAGAGAATGAAACTTCCAGAAGTGAAAAGCTATGGGTTATTTGTTTCCTTGGAGTTTTGCATTGAAATTGTTGTCAGTTTAGTTTCACAAAGCATAAAAATCACATCTGTATCCAATACATACATACCCTGGAGATAATTCAGGAATATTTAATTTTCTGTGGGACTTGCTGGCTTTGCTACGATTCCACAGTAAGATTTAAGAAGTGCTTGTGAAGGTAAAAAGAGGAACCCAAAGTGCTCAAGTCTGTCAAAAAGATGTTATTAACAATCTTTCTTTTTTTACTTCTGGTTCATTCTTTTTTTAAAAAAATAAATTTATTTATTTTTATTTTTGGCTGAGTTGGGTTTTTGTTGCTGTGCACGGGCTTCTCATCGCGGTGGCTTCTCTTGCTGCGGAGCACGGGCTCTAGGCGCGCGGGCTTCAGTAGTTGTGGCTTGTGGGCTCTAGAGTGCAGGCTCAGTAGTTGTGGTGCACGGGCTTAGTTGCTCCACAGTATGTGGGATCTTTTAGTGAAAAGAGAACTTAATTTAGGGACCAAAATGCCAGAGAACTATTATCCTAGGGCTAATGCAAGTTTCAAATGAATTCATGTACACAAAACCAGTTTGTTGTACTACACATGCATGCCAATATTTTGGGAGTAAATGTCTAGGAGCAGAGGAATAGAGTACAAAGTGATTCACTAAAACTCTGCAATCCTTAGATAAAGACATCTTGAAATAGGCATTACCTTTTGCAGATGTCACAAAGACGTTTTTCACAAATCCAGGAAGGGGAAGATGTAAGGGGCAGAAAATTCCAAGGAAAATCCAAAAGAGCTCGTCAGTGATGCTTAGGACTGAAGCCAGGCCTCACACCTCTACAGTCCAAATCCCAGAACAGAATCAGGCTCTGCTGTGACATCCAGGCTTTTCGTAAGTGCCTCTTCAGGAATCCATTTTCACCTGTATCTCCCACAGTGTGTTCTAGACTGAACTAAATTTACAGGACATCATTTCTCTTCATTCTACCCAGAGGAGGAGAGCAGGACCTTTGTGATAGAGTGGAAGGGGGCCCGAATGAGGTCTCCCTTCCTGCCTCTAGGCTGAGCCCACATGATGTGAGAACCTGCGATTAGCAAAACTGAGGCCACTCCCATGGCCAGAGAAGTATTTATAAACCCAGCTGTCTTGTCAGATAGAGGAAGTGAAGATCCCAAAGGCATTTCTTTTCTTTTCTTTTAATATTTATTTATTTGGTTACTCTGGGTCTTAGTTGTGGCAGGTGGGCTCCTTAGTTGTGGCATGTGAACTCTTAGTTGCGGCATGCACATGGGATCTATTTCCCTGGCCAGGGATGGAACCTGGGTCCCCAGCATTGGGAGTGTGGAGTCTTAACCACTGCGCCCCCAGGAAGTCCCTGCAAAGGCATTTCTATCTTTGCATTACGGGTCAGCAAACATTTTCTCAGGGGCTGGGCACTGCCTCGGTTTCTCACACATAACAATTACTTCTTAGGGAATCACGTTAATTCCAGGGTTGCAGTGATGCTCTAAAATTACTGAATAGCTAAGGGGCACCACAGAGAACGGTCTCAAGCTTCAGCTTGGGTCTGTGGAAATCTGGGTCTCGAATGCCATTTTAGCTCAGGAATGTTTGGTGGCTCAACCCGTTGTGCAACACCTGCAGCCACTCTTCTCTTAAAATGACGCTCGCAGAATGCTCTGGCCAGCTCAGACCTAGACGCTTCTGGGTCATGTGCCGTATGCACAACCACCACACCCTGTCAGAATGCAGCGTGACCTTTAGGACTGAAGTTAGGGTACGAAAACACTGACATGCTAAGTGTTCAAACAAAGTTTCATCTTAGGCTCAATAATCCTGACTCTTCACTTAGAGCTGATATATAGAAACAAATGATCTCAAATTTATAAGGTTTTAATTATGGGTTCAACAGTGAATTTGCTTTTGGTGGAGTGGGGAGAAAGGAGAAATTTTACTAAATATAGTAAAGGCTTATCTATAAATAAGCACAGGGAAGAAAAACATTTTTAGGATGCCTGAGTCAGCATGTTTACATGGTATGATTATTTAGTTTGGGGTCTAATTACACTTTGTGACCCCAAATCCTAGGATTCTCCTAAGTTTCCTGTACTTCCCACCCCTACCTCCCCATTAATGTCCACATGGGAGATCACAAACTGTGATAAAGATGGTGACTTCCATGTTCAAAACACCCAAATGGGGCTTCCCTGGTGGCGCATTGGTTGAGTCCGCCTGCCGATGCAGGGGACACAGGTTCATGCCCCGGTCCGGGAAGATCCCACATGCCGTGGAGTGGCTGGGCCCGTGAGCCATGGCCGCTGAGCCTGCGCGTCCGGAGCCTGTGCTCCGCAACGGGAGAGGCCACAACAGTGAGAAGCCCGCGTACCACAACAAACAAACAAACAAACAAACAAAAAAACACCCTAATGCATTTGAGCATAAATGCAGATTTCTTACAACTGTTTAAGAAGTGTATTTTTATCATACTTTCTCACTACAGAATTTCTAATGAGAAAGCTCGTAACTCAAATGCCACATCATATATAAGAAGTTGGTGCTTTGGAAGAAATATTTTGAACACTATTTTCTTCGATTCTTTAAGTCACTGATGTTTGGTGCTAATACTTGATGAGTGGTTTTAAGTCAAAGACAGAAAGCAGTATGTTCAACACATACAACATTTTGCATTTTAGGTTGCTTTATTAGAAACTTAAATTTAGGTGCATTGTTTCAATTTCTCTGGTCTAGATACATGATCTTTTTTCCTGGCCTTGGTCAATACTATCAAAGCCATCCCACTTAGCTCCCTGAAAGAGCCCCGACTTGCTTTCCTTGCATTTCATGGATGTCCTTATCATACTCGACTGTACACAGCAACTCTATTATAAATTTGGAGAACACAGGCTTTGTATTCTTCCTGCTGAAGGACTACTCTTAACCTTTAATGACAGCTGTATTTTCTCAATTTAATAAAATGTCTGCCAACTGTACTGGCAAAGTCAGTATCACACACTAGATAAGTTACATGACACTCCCCATGACTAGCACTACGTCTCTGGATCCTTACATCGTAAGTTTGCAAATTCTTCTCCCTATTCCAGTTAACGCAAGAGCGGAATGAGACAGTTCAGAGTAGGCAATAAACAATTCAGGTTTTCTGGAGTGAACTGCCAATATTTATTAAAAAAAAAAAACTAAAACAAACTTACCAGAACATAAGTATGAGTAAAAGTTAGGTGACTTTGCAAATAATATAGCCCCTACTGTTAGGTGCACCAGATGCTGGACTTTTGAAACAACAGTTAAGCTTCGACATCACATCGCTTCCTGTATGTTACTGTCCTGTATATTTCTGTATGATGTTTGTTCCTCTGATTTACCTGGAATCAATGACTCTAGAGGGGAAAAAAAAGGACTCTTTAAGAAGCTGATCAATTTTGGGTCCCACATTAGAAAACTACCAAACATCAATAACAACCACGGGGATAAAACAAATACGTCACTGGGGAGCACTTCTGAGTAACATCTTGAGTTTATTTTCAGCTTACTGGCCTCAAGTCTCCCGGTGAACGATTATTTGGAAGATTCACTTGCTGTCAGTACATGTACTAATTTTCTGATTTTTAAACTTGAGCACCTCCAAAGCAGAACCAGGTCACCTCCAGCCACAAATTTTTAAATACTTAGGGTTTAAAAAGAAAGTAATTTGTAGCAGTACTTAGTGTCCAACAGAAACCACTCCATCTGTTAAACAACATCTGACTGCAAAAGCTTCTCTTACTGTCGGTTGATAGATAATGACATGGCACAGCCATTATCACCGTGGCAACAGTAATCGGAAACTATCAGAGGAAAATTGCACATGGCACTGCTGTCCCTTGAGCAGCCATGCCTCAGCTTCCTCTGGAGAATGCTTTCTCTGCAAGTCTGGTGTGCTCTAGGGTACCACCAACCCAGCACCGCTCCAAGACTACAGACCACGTGGCGATTTCACTGAGCCCCGCTCTTCTGGGATCATTCTTTCCACCAATGTGAGCACCTGCTAGGTTCCAAGCACTGTTCTACGTACTGAGAATACAGTAATGAATGAAGTTGACAGTCTGGGAGGGAAGTCAATAAACAAGTTAACAAATATATGTCAAGATGTACTAAGCACAATGGAGAACAGAGAAAGCAATGGGCCTAGGGAGGCTTCCCTTCCCTCCTCTCTACCCTCACATTGATTTGTACCTGCTTCTCATTTCTCAAGCTCTGGGCACAGGTCCCGCGCCGGCACCGTGCCTTGCACGCAGCAGCTGCTCAGAAAACGTCTGTCGAATGAACCAATTCCTTTCTTAGTTCCCCATTCAACCTTTCCTGGGCCCAAGCCCAGGGGCTTAGGTCGGCTGGAAAGTCAGCGAAGCCCCGATCACACAGACGAGAGCTCTTTACAAACTTTAAAAATCAAAGTTGTTTTAGTGAAATAATCGCGCTGCAGAGGCGGGAACCACGGGAAGGGGTCTGGGCCTCTGCTCCCACGGGGGCAGCGGGACCACAGGAGGGCTGCGACACACGGCCCGGGCCCCGACGCCGTAGCCCCGGGCAGGCCTGGCCGCCAGAGCCCGGCGCAGTCCCTGCTCTCGCCGCGAACAGCCGCGGCCTTACTGAAGCTCCGGGAAGCTCACCTAAGCCGGGAACGGCGGATCCAAGCCTGCTCCAGCCCCCCCACCACCCGCAACGCCAGAACCAGCGGCCGGCCAACCGCGCTGCCGTGGCAACGCAACCTCCGCCCGCACCGGAACCGGAACCTTCATCTGGAAGTGACCCCTTCCCGGCGTTCCGCGGAACGACGAAACCCCGCCCAGCGCCTGTCCCAAGTCCTCCCGGAGCGTCCCAGCAGGCCCGTCTACCCTTCAGAGAGAAGCCGTCTTCCCTCTCGTTTCGCCTCCCCTTGCCTCGGAGCGTGACCCTGATGGACATCCACTCTCTCCAATCAACTGACAAAACGGTTTCCGGAGGCGATAGAATGCGGCTCAGGCGTAAGGACCGCCTCCAACCTGTCGGGGCGGGACGAGTAACATGATTGGTGGAATCCAGCAATTGAGGGCCAGGGTTCTCCAATCACGGAGAGCTTTTTGTCGCCGGTCCAATGAGGGCCTCCGGGGGGCGGGCCTGGCCTCCGCGGGCCGGGCCCCGGGAAGGCTTCGGCTGGCTCGCCCAGGTCCTTGGCCGTCGAGAGCTCAGGCCAGCGTGCGGGGATGAGCGGGTCCCTGGGCCGGGCGGCTGTGGCTCTGCTCCGCTGGGGGCGCGGCGCGGGCGGCGGCCTGCGGGGCGCGGGCGTGCGGGCGGCGAGCTCGGGCGGCAGCGGCTCGTCGGAGCACCTGGACGCGCTGGTGAAGAAGGACAGGGTGGTGGTCTTCCTAAAGGGGACTCCGGAGCAGCCCCAGTGCGGCTTCAGCAACGCCGTGGTGCAGATCCTGCGGCTGCACGGCGTCCGCGACTACGCGGCCTACAATGTGCTGGACGACCCCCAGCTCAGGCAAGGTCAGAGCCGGCTGGGGGCGGAGCTGGGGGGCGACCGGCCGAGGCCACTCTGCGGGGTCGAGGGTCTGTCGGGCAAGGTCCGTCCGGGGGCTCGAGGGGAGTTCAGACACGAGCTTCCACACGGGTCTAGGGTGGGGGCCTGATCGACCTGAACTGGATCTCGAGAATCTGGGCCTCTGGGCTAACATGGGCAATGGAGTAAGTCCTAGCGGTTCCCCAGTCCTCACTCTGAGCTGAAAAAGGCATTTCGGGGCCAGTGCTCTTCGGCTGAATCCAAGGAGCGTGGTCAGCAGCCTGACTCCCTGCTCTGCAGGGCTGGGGAAGTGGGCGGAGAGGGATACAAGAAGAGCCATTAGAGGTAAGCACTTCGGGGACACTTTGAGGGGCTGCCCTGCCTCGTGGTTAAGGAGAGGTGCTGTTGATGGCGGGGGGAGGGTCGAGGTTGCCCTTGTCTGAGGCTAGGGGCTCAGAGGCTGGCCTGTCGTGCCTCAAGGCTCGGGGTGACAGGGACCGTTCTCTGTTGCTGCTACAGGAGCGGTTGACACAGCTTTTGGACAGGTGTTAGTTGGGATCTGGTGTGGGAGAAAAAGACATGAAATTTATTTTTAGATACTCAAGGATGGGGGAGATTTGTGGTGGCTAGGGATTGGAGAGGCTTGTGGGGAGAGGGACGAAGAATGACTTCTGGGCCCTAGCTCACTCAAACTTGGAGCTCCAGGAAGCGGTCAGGGTCTGGGGCAGACAGAGTAGTGTCTGTGACTTTTCAGTGGCCCAGAGGGGAGGATGGAGGGCCCTGACAGTTAACTAGCATCTTTTCTGATGAGCACCTTGCTGAGAACCTTACCTGCATTCTTCTATTTTATCTTAGTGCGGGAGGAGAGAGAGGCCAGAACACCTGGGTCTGTTCCTTGGCTGGGGTGGGTGGGCTTGTTGGAGGCATGGGGGGACCGTGCCTGTACCCCCTGAAGGGTGGCATTCCAGTTAGACTTTCAGTGACTGAGTTCTCCCCGAGTTTCCTGATGTTGTTTAGTGACAGTGTTCTAAAAAGTGTTTTAGGGCCTCAAGTTCTATGGTAGTCTACATTCAGAATTCTGTATTTTGCTCTTCTACATTTGAAGTTGTCAATCATAGTCATTCCAACAGAGATGGGACAGGCTGGCGTCAGGGAAAGGCTCTGGGTTAGACTCCTTTGGCCAATCAGCTGTGCAACCGAGGCAAGGTACATGACTGCATTTTCCTTTTCGGTAATATGAGGATAATGAAACCACACTTGGCAAAGGTTTTGTGAGGAAAAAAGGGAAAATAAAACTTTTAGAAAGTGCCTTGTCCTCTTATCTCACACTCAGAAGGCATCCATTAAATGGTAACCATTTTATTATTAGCACTTTATGGTTTTAAAAGTATTTTTTCCCATGGAATCTAATCCTTATAGAACTCTCGGTTTTGGTGGATGGAAACAAGGAGTGAAGGCAGCTTAGAGTTACTAGGAGGCATATGTAATATTTCCATGTGCTGTGCCCATGATCCTTCTCCCTTCCTGGAGTACTGGAATGCTACCAATTGCTGGCTTTTTTCACATACAGGGTGATCTGCAGTCTTCTTGCAGCAGCAGTGGCGTCTCTGCCTAAAAGATAAGATAGCAGAAACTACTCTGTAATCTTTCTGCTGGGACCTTGCCTCAGGCCGCTTGCAAATTGCCACTGTGGTCCTTAGTAGAACTTAGAGTTTTGAGAGTCTTTGGTTTATGAATTTCTGTTCTCCTGTTTAATATAACCAGAGATGGTATAACTGAATCACTTTGCTGTACACCTGAAACATTGTACATCAACTATACTTGAATTAAAACATTTTTCTGAAATATAACTGGAGATGGGCTATACTGGAATATGGCCAGTAAACTGAAAGTCACAGCAGGAATAAGAATGTTTGCGGAGAGCACTTATGTATCTGATTTCCAGTCTTCTGTTCTTAAGTGTTCAAACAATAGCAACGGGAATTTAACCCTTAAATTCCTTGACCATTGGGCTTCATCAGACCATTCCTTTTAGTTAGTGAGGGTGTTGCATACATATTGAACATAACACTGTCTTTGAACATAACCCGTCTTTCGTTGCCTAGAAAAGTAAACCTTAGGGTAAGTATTAACCTCTAGACTAGGGCAGGGTGGTGTAAGCACGTTGTTAGAGTGGGCAGTAGTTTAGCCAGGGTGAGGCATTAAAACATGAAGGTTCTTCATCTGTTCGCTCTCCACACCTTCAGCTTTACCAGGAGAGACTGACAGGCTGTCTGATGCTTGCTTTTGCCAACTAAAGATATGTCTGTGAACTTTTCCCAGACCCAAGGTCACTTCTAGGAACAGTATAGGGGCTTCTGCAAAATTGGCCTTTCCTGTTTTCTTGTGCCAGAGAAGGCTGAGTTTTAGAAGGGACCCAAGTCGGAGGAAGACCCTCAGACACTGCCTCCTAGTTCTGGGCACTGGGTCCAGGGAGTATGATGCACAGAGGTGTCAGCCTGAGGCCTGAGACTGAGGCAGCTTTGCGTTTTGGCCTTCCTCAAGGTTTGTTCCTTTCTAAAAATCTGGAGCACCCACAAGACGGCCACATAGGGTCACGGTGGATGGATGTCACCATATCCTGCTCTTGGTCTTAACAAAGACTAACCTTTACTTTCAGTTGCAAAAGTAACATGTGCTCATGGGAGAAATTTGGAAAACACTGAAAATCTAAATAAAATGAAAATCCCCTGTAATTCCGTATAAACCATTATTATTAACATTTGGATCTAGTTTCTAACAGTTTTTTTTTTTTTTTCTTTTTTAACAGAGTTGAGATCACCCATGTCTATATATAGCATTTTGCCCTCCTGAGAGCAGGGAACGTGTCTTCTGCGACTCCCTGAGCACTGTGTGTGATGCTTATGCAAAGCGAGCTTTCAGTGCGTGTTTTAATGAATAAATAAATGCTTCTTTTATTTATCATTTTATCATAAACTCTCTTTCCTGCTCTTAAAAACATTATAGACACTCGAATTTCTGCCTACTCAGATCACCACTGTATTCCTCGAGTCGGGAACAGCGTCTGTTGAATGAATACCCATCATCCTATTGTTGAATGGTTATTAAGTATTTGAAAATATGCCCAGCCTTTCCAGTATCAAGGAATTTCAGGCAGTAGTACAGCTATGACGTTGGTAAGCATTAAAAAGCAGATAACAAGTGTGCACGGGTGTCTGGTGGGCAGGTTGTATGCTGCAGATGGGGGTATAAAGTGGCACCCGCACTTGGAAGGAGTGACTATCAGTACCCAGTCAAGTTGAAGGTGAACAGAACTGAACACCCAGCTCTTTCACTCCCGGCTATTTAGGCTACATCAGGGATCGACAAGCTTCCTTGTAAAGGGCCAGAGAGTAAATAGTTTAGGCTTTGGGGGCCTGGTGGTCTCTGTTACACCTATTCAGCTCTGCTGTTACAGTGTACAGCAGTCAGGGACAACACATAGACGGATGAGCGGGGCGAAGTTCCAATAACACTTTATTTACAAAAGAATGTGGACCGGCTTTGGCCCGAAGGCTGTAGTTTGCCACCCCTTTGTCTAGAGAGACTGTCCCCTGCATGTGAGCTAGGAGATGCATGTAAGGGTGAGCACTGCAGTGTTCCTTGTGATAATGAAAAGTGGGCAAGAACAGATCTTGGTCTGTTAGCAGCAGACTGAAGAAACCAACTGTAGCTTAGTCATGATGGAAAACTAAATTGTGGTTAAAATGAATTAGATCTAGGGACTTCCCTGGTGGTGCAGTGGTTAAGAATCCACCTGCCAATGCAGGGGGCACAGGTTCAATCCCTGGTCTGGGAAGATCCCACATGCTGCGGAGCAACTAGGCCCATGCACCACAACTGCTGACCCTGTGCTCTAGATCCCGCGAGTCACAACTACTGAAGCCCGCGTGCCGCAACTACTGAGCCTGTGCACCGCAACTGCTGAAGCCCGCGCGCCTAGAGCCCATGCTTGGCAACAAGAGAAGCCACTGCAATGAGAAGCCCGCGCACTGCAACGAAGAGTAGCCCCCGCTCTCCACAACTAGAGAAAGCCACACAAAAACAAAGACCCAACGCAGCCAAAAATTAAAAAAAAAAAAAAAAAATGTATTCTCAAAAAAGGCGATGCTTAGTCAAAAAGCAAGTTACAAAAAGGTAATTGTGGCTTAACGTCGTTTGTTTCTATAAATGTTAAAGATGTGGAACAGTCCCATGGATTGCAGATCCATGTGTCGTGCAGGTGGGGCTCACAGTGGGGCAGGAGTGACAGATGCCAGCCTCCGGCCAGAGACCACCTCTGGTGGTCAAGAACCTGGCCTTTGGACTCCTGGACACCTGGACTCAAATCCTGTCTCTACCGTATGTCAGCACTGTGACGCTGGTTAAGTTATTTAACCTCTCTGAGCCTTCATTTCTTCATCTGTAAAATAGGGATAATTATACATAACTTGT